TGTTTGTGAGATTTATCCATGTTGTGTGTGGGGATATTTTCATTCACATTCATTGCTGTATACTAGTATTCTATTGTGTGACTTTACCACAACTTACATATCCATTCTACTGTGGATAGACATTTGGGTTGCTTCCAGTTTGGGCCTATTATGAACACGTCTTGGTAGACATAAGCTCTTGTTTCTGTTGCGTATATGCCCAGGAGTGGACTTGCTATGTCATAAGTTATGCATATGTTCAGCTTTAGTAGATACTGCCAGTTTCCAACAGGGTTATACCAACTGTCTTAGTCTGTTAGGGTTGCTAAAACAAAATACTTCACACTGTGTAATTTATAAACAACAGAAATTTATTCCTCACAGTTCTGGAGTCTGGGAAGTCCAAGATCAAGGCAGCTTTGGTGTCTGGCGAGGGCTCGCTCTCCACTTCAAAGATACAGCACCTTCTCACTGTCCTCACATGGAGGAAGGGAGGGAAAGGCTCCCTCAAGGCTATTTTATAAGGTCACTAATCTCGTTCCTGAGGGCAGAGCTCTCAAGGACTAATCACCACCCAAAAACCCCACCTCTTAGTACCACCATCACCTTGGGGTTAGGTTTCTTTTCTTTTTTTTTTTTTTTTTGAGACCGGCCGCACCGCACTCAGCCAGTGAGCACTGTGAGCGCACCGGTCATCCCTATATAGGATCCGAACCCGCAGCGGGCGCGCTACTGCACTCCCAGCGCCGCACTCTCCCGAATGCGCCATGGGCTCGGCCCTTGGGGTTAGGTTTCTTTTCTTTTTTTTTTTTTTGAGACCGGCCGCACCGCACTCAGCCAGTGAGCACTGTGAGCGCACCGGTCATCCCTATATAGGATCCGAACCCGCAGCGGGCGCGCTACTGCACTCCCAGCGCCGCACTCTCCCGAATGCGCCATGGGCTCGGCCCTTGGGGTTAGGTTTCTTTTCTTTTTTTTTTTTTTGAGACCGGCCGCACCGCACTCAGCCAGTGAGCACTGTGAGCGCACCGGTCATCCCTATATAGGATCCGAACCCGCGGCGGGAGCGCTACTGCACTCCCAGCGCCGCACTCTCCCGAATGCGCCATGGGCTCGGCCCTTGGGGTTAGGTTTCAACATACCAATTTTAGGCAAACATATTCATTCAGACCATACCACCAATTTACATTCCCCCCAAAATTTGTGAGCATTTCATTTGCTCCACTTTTCCATCAACATTTGATCTTGTCAGGCTTATTCCCTATAGGCTGTGTGATTTCCCCCCTCCTACTTAGTTATTACAGTTATTAATAGTACATAACCAATCACCTCCCCTCCCCCTCCCTCATCCCCCACCCCCCCATGCTCCAGAAACACTCCATTAGACCACTCACTATTGCACTGGAGACAGTGGGTGGTGGGAGAGGGCTCTTAGGGTGGGGTCTTTGCTTTATTATTCTGTGTCACCGAGGCCTATCCCAATGTTCTGCACATACTAGGCACAAAATAAATATTTGTTATATAATTACATGAAAAAAATGATATGAACTCCTGTTTGTCTGTACCACACACATATTGTGAACATCCCCAGCCACTTGAGGGCACCCTTACTGTCTTGTTCATCTTACGCCTTGAGGGCTCCTTTAATAGACAATATCTGCTAAACCAAATTGGCTTCCCAAGGCCTGGCATCTCAGACTTGTGCCTCCTGCCCCACTTCACCCAGCCTAAGGGCGTTGAGCCTGAGCACACACACGATGATTATAATCATCTTGTTACAACATTCCTGAGACTGTGTAATTATATATTGAGCATTTTAGTATTATAGCAGGTGGTGTATCTTGGCATACTGGGCAAGGATGTGTTGGTGTGAAAATCTCCCTTTAAATGGGGTCACTGGCTCCAGACACCCGATCAGCTGTGGTGTACAGGCATGAAGAGGAGCCAGCTCTGGGGCACAGGAGTCAGAGTTTTCCTTTGCATTGTCCCCTCTGGTCCTTCCTCCATCCCAGTCTTGCAAATCAGCTGTAAACTGGGTCAATAATGGCACCTTTCATAGGGTCATTGTAAGGATTAAATAAATTAACACTTGTATGTAAAGTGCTTAGCACAGTGCCTGGCACACAGTGAGGTATGGAGTGAGCAGTAACCCTTATGCTTATTGCTGCCCTTGTTAACAGCTGCAGCAACCGCGGTGTGAGGAGTGCTTGGAGTGACCGTGCCCAGAACCATGTGTGGACTTCATGGCCCTGGGCTGAAGAGAAAAGAGCAGAAAGATGAACACGGGGGGAGCACATGATTGTCATCTGTCCGTGGACAGCACAGATGCATTAGGCTAAGGACCCGGACCTGCTTTCCCTGGAGCGGGGGTGGGGTACGTCCTTGGCCATCAGCTGAGTGACAGTACATCCATGGAAAGCATCCTACCTCGAGGCCTGAATGACTCCATTCCTGGGAGATAACAGCAGGAGACATGCTATGGAGTTTGAATCTTGCCCAGCATGGGAATTTCTGTCTGCTGGAAGGGCTTTGTCATTGCCCAGGTACAATGGGGCAAACTGCCTCTGGACACACCCATCATTCATTGTCACCTCTCTGGGATAGGAGCAGTTGCCAGGTACCTCCAAGGAGCTTGACAATAGAAGAACCTCCTTCCACCCCCTCCTCCTGAGATGGAGTCCAGTGCTGCTCGTACTTTGAACCGGTTTGAGAAGGAGGACATCACAGAGGCCAAGACAGCAAGAGATGGACGCCTCATTGTTACTTAATGCTGCCTTGGGAGAAAACAGAGGGCCATAGGCACAAAATCCTCTTGATCCATGTCTGCCCCTTGGCTTTCTGAACCCTTCACTCTCTGACATACATAAAGAACCTATACAAAAAAAAGGGGGAAGCAGGCAGGGATGAACAAGATAGCCATGAGCCCATAACTATTGATAATTATTGAAGCTGGGTGGTGGGCACATGGGGTTTGTTATTCTATTCTCCCTACTTCTGTGTGTGCTTGAAAGATGTTCACAATAAATAATGTCTCTTAAAGGAAGGTATTAATAATTCAAGGCTTGGCAGGGTAAACGGCGAATCCCCGATCTTTGACTAAGCAGTCCCCTAAACCTGAGAGTATTCATCAAGGGAAACAAGGTTAGGATGTGGCACTGGTCTGGCTTCAGTCAGTCATCAAGCAGATTCCAAGGGTATTTCCCAGGAAGACAGAAGCAGTGTCAGCTCTTGGGCTTTGAGGGAATGTTTCAGCAGGAGCAAGAGGCAGAGAGGGGCTTAGATAGCAGGTACTCTTGCTGCAGATGGGGATGCCCCCAGCCTTCACTCCAAGGCGCAGTGTCCTTTCTCAAGTCCCCAAGTGTGGGTGGCCAGGCCCCCCAGTGGGGGTGGAGGTCCTCCCTCTCTTCCTTAGGTTCTGGCCTCCATGTCATCCAGACCATGGCTGTGAGGGTGACCTGTCCGGCTCCCCTTCCTATGCACACCCTCCTGCAGCTGAAAGCTGTACTCCAAACACAGGACTCCTGAGGTCTGACATTGGCCAATACACCACCCATTTCCCGTCCCTGCTTGAAGTTACCATTTGAAGAGGCCTTCAGGTTGGTAACAGCTAAAGTGGGGATGCTGTTAAACGCAGGCCAAGTCAGGGCTGCTGGGCAGCATAATTTGAAAAGTGCTGGGAAGGTCCCTTGAAACTTCCTACATACCTTACCCAAGGTAGCTCCCACAAAGGCTGGTTACTGCCCCTGAAATTCCACCATTCAGGCAACAATCTTTGGGGCTACACATCACCTTCTTGGGATATTTTTTTTCAAGGCTACCCTGGGAGGATAACACATTAAAACTAGTACCTCTGTGTGCACTGTTCACTGACCTTCTGGGCATGGTACCTGAGGGGGGGGGGCGGCGGAGCACAGAGGCCTAGTGAAGAGTGAGGGTGATGGGGAATGGTGTAGACAGCTTCAGTAGGGACCACTCCTGGTTTTGGGATAAAGTTGCTGGGTTTGGAGTGTAGGCTGAAGAGAAATTTAGAGGTAGTAGTCATTAGGGTGCTGAAGTCCCCTGTGGCAGTGCAAGGGAAAGCCATAGCAGCCAAAGCAGGGTGCAGAACCCTGGAGGCTGACAGCTTGGGGTGGGCCATAGGGAGCCCCATCCCATGTCTCCAAGGACCCTAGTTCTTGTCCCTTGCAGAGCCCAGAAAAGGAGGTGGCTCCTGGGGCCCCTGTGCCTGCCCCTTGTCCAGTGATGGCTGCCTGAAAATCCACAAGGATACCCCCAGTTCACTCCAATGTGTTTCTGGTGTAAATGTAGCTAGTCTTCCCAGCAGTGGGAGAACTGGGGATCGGGAGAACACCCTAGCCCCGATCCTGCACAGATGCCCCAGGGATATGCCTCCCTCCCCACAATTCTCCAATGCACAGGATAAAGTAAGGAGCAAATATAAAGAGGGGAGAGGCAGTAGGGCCTGGGTCTGCTTCTAAGGTGTAGCCAAGGGGTCCAGTCCTTCTACATTTAATAGTGATAATAACAATATGTATCCAACCCTCAGTAAATGCTGGGAATCATTCTAAGATTTACATAGACAAACTAATTTAATCCACACGTTAGGAGATATATATACAAATATATATATTCATCCCCATTTTACAGGTGAGAAAACTGACAGAGATTAATACCTTGCCCAAGATCATAGAGCTAATGAGAGGCAGAGCAGGATGCAGTCTAGACTGCCCTACACTGCAGAGCTGTGCCCTTATCTGCTGTGTGCACTGCCTCTCTCGTTCTCAGCTCTAATACCAGGTTGGGCAGGAGAGAGGTGGGAGAAGCATTTAGTGGCCACCCCCTCTGAGCCAGGCACTCGGCAAACACCTATATGCTTCAATATCAGAAGAACCCTTCAAGTGAAGGATAAGCCAGATACTGACTGTTCATGTGAGGAAGCAAGACCAGAGACGTCTGCCATGGCCACACAGCCCAGGAAGTGAGGAAGCTGAACTCCAAACCTCTGCCTGAGCTCTGCCCATTGGGTGTCCCTTCCCCAAGTTGTGTAGGGAGCTGAAGAAAATGGAGACCAGGAGGGAGGGAAAGAAGGGGTGAGAAAGCTGGAAAAGGGCTCCAGAGGTTTTAGGCCTGGAAACTCCCTCTGGCTTCCCTGGTGTCCTTGGCAACCTTTGCACCTCCCCCAGGTAGCCTCGCAGGGGAGGGGCACCAGAGGAGCAGAAGACTCAAAGCAGCTGGGTCCCTGGAGAGCAGCTTCCCTGCCACTGCCACCTGCTCCAGTGCAATGGACTTCATGCTGGGCTGCTGGGGATGGGAGCGAGGTCTTGTGGGGTCTCCCACCCCACGCACCTGCCCTCTGGCCTCTGAGGACTTGGGCAGGACAAAGGGCATTGCCGACCCTTGTGTGCTCTTCAGCAGCATTTCCTGATCTTGCTTGGGGAAACAGGGATGAGGCCTGGACAGTGGCACCTCCTCCGGAGGACATGGGAGACAACCTGGATTGCTGAGTGTGTGAGGTCTGGAGTGCAGGGGGCAGCTCAGGGCCCAGAAAGCCGAGGATGGTAAGGAATCTTCAGAGGGCATGAGCTGGGGTGGAAATGCTGCCCCCAGGACTTGGTCCGGCCATGGCACTGCCTCTCACCAGTCCTGCAGTCCCTTAGCTCCCCTCTAACCCAACCATTCGCCAGCCCCGAAAAAGGGACAAGGGCGGCCAGAAAGCCCCTCTCCAGAGTGGGTCTGACTATACCATGGGGAACAGAGCAGATGCATGGTGGGGAGGGCTGAGAGGCTTCACTGGAATTGGCGCCGCCGGTACAACATGGCCAGGAATGTGGCCATGAGCACCCCAGTTGCAGCCACCCAGAGCCATGGAGCCCAGGGCACATCCCATACACAGCGCACCACCTCCTCCTCCTTGAGCGGCGGGGTGACACACGGCCTGGGGCAGGCCTCCAGGAGGTCGGCACTGGGATCCTCGGCCACATGGATCCCAAAGGTACCCACGGACACGTATTCATTCTCTTCTGGGCCATGGTTGGGCTCCTCACCATGGCTGGGCCCCACACCATGGCTGGGCACTGCACCCAGGGAGTCGCTGCGGCTGATGGCGAGATCCGCGGTGCAGCCAGAGAAGGGCTGGCAGTCCAGCTGAGATAGCAGCACGCCAGGCTTGCTCAGCTCTGACCCAGATTGCTGGCTCTCAGAGCTGCTGTCTGGCCAGGGCAAAGTCCCTCCTGTGGCACCTGTGGGTGCTGGAGCTGCTAGGGTCTCCTGGGAAAGAAAGGAAAGCTCTGGAACGGAGTGGGAATAACAGGGAGAAAAGCAGGGTGGGAGGCCTCATGCCTAGGCCAGGGTGAGAACAGGCACCCCAATCCCTTAGTTTCCAGCCCATAATGCCCAAGGCCACCCTCTCTTGGGGACCCAACCCATTGGTGGTGCAGGAGGGCAGTGAGGGAGAAGGAGACCATGGCCCCACAGCAGTACCCACGGTGACTGTCCAGGGCAACCCTCTCCCTACTCACCAGCCTGCCTGTAAGCTCACCCCAACCTGGCGAGCCCTTGGTGAGGTGTGGCCCTATCCTGCATCAACATTCTGCCTGGGCCTGTGGGCCACGGAGCAGCCACAGACAGGCTCTGAGGCATGCCATGTGCCCAAGAGGCCCATGGACTTGATGCCTCCATGCAGACAGCGGCAGTAGGGTGAGATGTGAGGGCTCGGAGGGGGCAGCTGTGGGGGCTGTGGGGCCAGAGAAGCTGCTCCAGGCTGGATGGGTGGGGCTGCTGTCTGTAAAACCTGGCCGTGGAGGGACAGTCCAGACACCCTGGTGGTAAGGAGCAAAGAATCGAGGCAGACGGGCCACTGTGCTCTGCCCCTCACTGCTTCCTCATCCGCTTACCTGGGGGCTACAACGTCTCAATGAGTTAATGCATGTGACTAGTGGGGGGACCCACCATGCCTGACCCTCCTGAGGCTCTAATGACTATCATTCCTCCTGGAGGACATGAAGTGGGGTCTGGATGAGGCTGGTTCTCAGCTGTCCCTATACCTTCAAGGAGAGGCCATGGACCAGCCCAGCTGGAGACAGAATGGAGACTGGGATGGGTTCAAGGACAGGGCCAGGAGGGTAAGCTCTCCCAGAGGAGGAGAGCTGAATCTCCGCTGGGAGAGCAAGGACTCACCTCAGCTCTGGTGCTGCTCCTGCTGGCAGGCACTGTGTTGGCAGGCACCTTCGTGGGCACCATGCTAGTGGGCACTGTGGATGGCACCTTGCTGGCACGTGTTGAGTTGATGGGCAGTTTAGATGGTGCTGGATTGGTGAGCACATTAGAGGGCACTATACTGGGAGGCTTGGGGCTGGTGGGCAACTTGGAGGGCACTGTGCTGGCAAATGCTGTGTTGGCAGGCACTTTGGAGGGCACTGTGTTCACAGGCATCAAGTTGGTGGGCAGCTTGGAGGGCACTGTGCTGGCAGTCATAGGGTTGGCAGGTACCTCTGCCTCACTGGAGTGAATGGCAGCCTCAGCCTGGTCACCAACGCCCCCTGCAAAAGCCAAGCCAGTGGAGGAGGAGGAGGTGCCAGGAGATGGAGCTGACACTGCAGGTCCAGGCAGGCGGCTTGCCCTGGGGGTGGAACGGGCCAGAGGCTGGAAGGAGACAGTTGGAGACACAGGCCCGCACGATGATGTGAGACTGGAGACCACGGCTGCAGGTGGCAAAACAAAAGTGAAAGCATAGGTTACCCTTCAGCCCTGGTTACTCTGAGGGCTGAAGAAGGGTCCCTCTGCCCCAGACCATGCTGTCCCTGCTGCATCCAGGCCTCCCAATCACCTGCCCATGCAAGAGACTCCACAGTCCCTTTGGTCACCACTCCCAGGCCTGAAGGCCCAACAGCTGCCCTCAGTCCCTGACCTGTAGCCCAAGTCTGTTCTGGCACAAGAGTGAAACGGTCTCTCCCTTTAACAGCACCTAGGAGCTTGAAGGTCATTATTCATTATTCTCTCTGCTTTTTCTTCTCCCACCTGGGACACCCCCTCTCCTCCTGTGTCTGCCTTTTCTACCTTCTCCTTAACCTGGTAGAATCCTGAACAATGCCCCCACTACTATCCCCCTCACCCCCACCCCAGCACAAGCAATCCTGGATCAGGGCAAGGGGCAGCAGGATGGCTCAATCAAGACAGCTCACTCCAGTCAAGTGGCATCAGGGGCCTGGCCAGCCTCCAGGGACTTGCAGGGAGGGGGGCCTGGCTGGGGGGAACAGGAGGTAGCAGATAGTGACAGTCCATAAAGGCAGTTGATCAAGATTCTCATCAAACTCTAAGAATGCACATGCCAGGCTCCATGGCTCACAAAGGTCAGGGTGATTCTGGTGTGCTCCCCCCCTCCCAAATCTAACGCCACAGAATCACATGGGACCTGTGTCCACAAGCATACTGAGATCTATGTGCCCTTTGCTCTGTGTTCCACAGCAGCATCTCCTGAGAGGTGTTCCAGGACAAGGAGACATTGTAAAGCGCAAATAGGTGCTTGGGATAGTTTGGAGGTGGCAGAAATGGGGGCACTAAGATGGCTTTTCCCAGCCTTTAACTGCTCATGTGGCTTGTGGTTGTCCTGGGGCACTGAGGGCTGCCGGGGGCACCAGTGTCTTGTGGCACACAGTTTGGGGAGTAGCGGAGAGACATCAGCCTCGGAGGTCAGGGTGAACAGCTATAAATTCCTGAGAGGGCGCACTGAGATCTGGAGTCAGGTCCAGGCCCCTGGCTGATGAAGACCCTGCTACCTCTGGGGGCTGAGAAGTTATAGTGATTCACTGGGAACCAGAGGCTCCTTTTGGGTATGGCAGTGCCTAAGGGCTCCCTGCCAACAGCTTGCTCAGCCCTGTAATGTCCCTCCTCTGCCCTCCTCCACGGCCTGGCTGATTCCTACAAGTCCCTTTGGCAGAGTACAGAAATGGCCCACAATTCTCTTGTCTGCCTGTATCCACAACCCCTGCAATGTGACTTTGTCAGTCCTCCCATCTAAGGATGGAGTTTATTTCCATACTCTGTGAATCTGGGCTGACCTTACAACTTGCTTTGGCTCACAAAATGTGTAGAGGATACTAACATTTATAAAGCAAATGTATTTCACAGGGCCTAGCTTGCAAGGCCCTGTAGTTTCAGGTATAGACTAATTTTTTAGAATTACACATAGAAATGTTAAGCTTGTGAAAGACAGAAAATTTCCCCAGGCTAAAGTCTCTATTGTAGATAAAGAATTGTAACAAAGCAAAATTGTTGGCTCCAAGGGCAGATGTCCTTTGTGTAGCTAAACCTAATGATTGTTGCCATGATAATTATCTTACTGTTCTTTTTGTAACTACCTATGTTCCTTTTCTGTAACTTTCTGGCCTGGAGAATAAATACTGAGAGAAAATCAGAGTTCGGTGTTATTTTTCCGAGGAATCCTTCTTTCTTGAGGATTCCTGGAAAATCAACCCCTTCGGGGGATCTCAATGCTCAGAAGAAATGGGCTTTGAGTAATCCTTTGCGTCTCCATCACCCTGGGGGAGAGGTGACAAGAATGGGGCAGGAGAGACATTGCGCCAGTTTTGAGCTTATGCCTCGAGAGCCCTCTCTCTCTCTCTCTCTCAACTCTGCCTAGCTGCCAAGAGATGGGTTTGTGTGCTGGAGGATGAGCAACTAGATGGAAAAGAAAAAAGATCCACGGTGCCCTAGCCAACAGCCAGAAGCAGAGCATATGTGTGTACTGGTGAGGACACAAGAGGACACAGTGATATCAAGAAGGAATTAGGGTGCTCCCTGTGATGGGAGAGGCCTGGATGCTCCCAGGCCCCCAATGCACCCAGAAGAACTGCCCAGCTGAGTCAGCCCAAATGGCTGACCCACAGAATCATGTGCTACATAAATGGCTCTATTTTAAGCCATTACAATGTTTTCTGGGCTGTTTGTTACACAGCAAATGCTAACTGACACACCTGCTAAGGAACCGGTTCCCTAAGGTGAACTCCCTTTATTCCCACCTTGCCTCCTGTCCAAGGAAACTGGAGGGGCACTCTCACTTGGGAGGTCAGAGAGGTGCTATCACTCCAGATTCCACACATACCTGCTGTGTGGGTACTGCCCAGTTCTGTGTCCTGCTCCTGATGCCTGCTGGAGGCCAGCAGGCTGAGGGCTGCCAGGTCAGATGAGGGCTCCTGGGGGCCAGCCGGCCTCTTCAGGATGGCCCCAGAGCTGGGTGTCTGTGAGATTTGCTCTGAACTCTGCAAGAAGGAAGATGTAAAAAAGGCAGTTGCTTCTCCCAAGAGCTGGCAAAGGGCAGCACAGGGACCAAGAGAGGCCTTGCCTCGGTCTGGACACTGCCTGAATCTCTGTCCACAGGTGACCTTGTACCCATCTCATAGAAAACACACACACCATCTCATGGGAGTCCTTATCCACCTGTCTGGCCCTGTAAAAAGGTCTCCCTCTTTGTGGCTACTGCACAGACTCCTTTCTTGGGCTTCAGGTCCATTATTCGGTGTCTCCCAGAAACACCTCTGCCCGCTCATCACATCTCAGTAGAACCAGTCATCCTTACCCCAAAGTTGACCTTATTGGCAAGAATTATAGCTCCACCATGCATCCCCTGCCCCATGACCTCCTGCTCCCTCATTCCCGCTCATCTGGTCATTCTCCAGATTCTTCCATCCAGCTCAACATCTCACACGGACCATTGCAAAGACCTCACAACTGTAGCCTCCATGCCAGTTGATGACAGAGAGCTGGGGGCTGCCACAGTGTGAAGGCCTGGTCAGTAGTCTGGGAGCTGTCTGGGCAGATCCCCCTTGGGGAAGCCCTGGGGTTGTGAGCAGAGATTAGGCATGATTTGTGGAGGGCAGGAGAGGGCTTCTGGAAAGCTGGGTAGGCAGAAGTGGGCAGACAGAAACACAAAAGCAGGAGGCTCAAGGTAGATCAGGAGGACGTACCTCTCCCAGGGACTTTGGCGGCTGTGTGTCCTGGACAGGCATGGGGTAACTTGGGTCCTCCTCCCTGTAGCCATTGTAGGGGATGCTATGAGCCACAGCAGGTGTAGAGGACCCTGGAACCTCAGCAGGAACTGATGGCGGCTCCATTGGGGCCGGGGGGTGGTTTGGGATCCCTGGAGGACAAAGATACAGTGATGTCAAGAAAGAACTGGGGTGCTCTTGGGCCCCAGTCCCCACCCCAATAGCTCCAAAAGCTGCCCCAATGTGGGATGCACTCCTCAGAGGTGACAAGCATCACTGGGGAGGAGAATGAGTGGGAGGGAGAGAGGAAGTGGGGGGATGAGGAGAGGTATCGGGGTGGGGAGGGGAGAGAGTATATAGGAGCCTCTTGAGCCTCTGACCACCCAACTGCCAGCAGTCACTCCTTCTCTGTCCCAGGCACTCTGGAACCCAGAGGCCTCCTCCTCCTCAAGGCTGTCACTGCTAACAGACCAATGCACTGATGCTGCCTCCTCAGTCCCTCCCCTCTGCCCCGCCACCCACCCCTGTCCTACCATAGCCATTTGTATTTGGGGGATCACTATTAATCTCCATAAATGAAGAGACATGTTAGAAAGAAAGAAGAATCGGGCCGGAACGGTGGCGCACTCGGTAGAGTGCGGCGCTTGGGAGCGTGGCGGCGCTCCCGCCAAGGGTTCGGATCCCATATAGTGACGGGTCCACTCACTGGTTGAGCACGGTACTGGCGCGACACCGAGGGTTGAGATCCCGTTACCGGTCACGAAAAAAAAGACAAAAAGGAAAAAAAAAAAAAGAAAGAAAGAAGAAGCTGGCCAGTTAGCTCAGTTGGAACATGGTACTGATAACACCAAGATCCAGGGTTCAATCCTTGTACTAGCCAGCTGCCAAAAAAAAAAAAAAGGAGGGGTGGCTGGAAGGCCCTGGGGCAGTGGGGGTTGGGGGAGAAGGTGGAGAGAGGGATGATGAACAAATGGGTAGGGGCAGAGGAGACCGGAGAGGAAATGAGGAAGGCTGGGAAGGAAACAGATGCTACAACCACAAAAGTTAGGGGAGGTGCCTGTGCTGAGCACTTAACACACTGGCGTCCCATGGTATCTGTCCACTGCAGCCTTCCAAGGTACACTCTGCCATTAGCTCCATTTTACAGAGGAGAAGCCTGAGGCTCAGGGAAATTAAGGGATTTGGCCAAGGGGACATGGCTAGTAAGTGGCTCAGCCAGGGAGGGACTGTGACAGAGAAAGGCAGGAGGGACAGGGGTGAAGGAGAGGGAGAGTAGAGGCCAGGGAAGCAGGCAGGGAGCCCAGGGGGAGAGCCAGGGCAGGAAGCTCACGAGGCAGGTTGCTATGGTAGACACTGGCCACTTCCTCAGCGAGACCAGCCAGTTCACAGGCTCTCAGTGCCGCAATGAAGGAATCCACCCAGCCCGTCCGCCGCTGTAGGCTGTTGAAGAGATCCCAGAGGGTGTCCCGGTTCCCTAAGCGCGTATAAGAGGCCCGCAGTCGATCCTGGAAGACACAGAGCCCACGCCTTATTCAAGCCAGGTGGCCCTGGCCCTTTCCCTGCCCAGAAGGGGACAACTGCAGAGGGGGGCATCAAAAAAGCCACAAGAGGGAGGCAGGCATCTGCAACTGGATCAGAGCCCAGGACAAGGCCAGGGTTAGAGCCCAAGTAAGGAATGAGGAAGAACAATCAGCAGCAAGAATAATAAAGGCAGCTACCGGGAAACAGGCTGTTACCACATCCCAGGCTCTCAGTGAAGGGCTTTGCATGAATTATCTTATTTAATGCAGTTACTGTTCTACATTACTGATAAGGAAACTGAGGCTTAGCAGGAGTAAAATAGCAAAGATCCTACTGCAGTGGGGCAGGAATCCAAAACCAGTTAATCCGATGCAAGAGCCTTGGGTTTATACAGCCCCCAAGGTAAAAAGAAAAGTTTGGATTAGCAGAGAAGGAAAAGGTGTGTAGCAAAAATAAGATGAAAGGGGGCAAAAGAGGAAAAGAGAGGGGCTAACAATAGGAAACGAGGAGACTGAGAACACTGGGGAAATTCTGGGAAGATGACAACAGCTGCACTACCCGAATTCCCAAAGAAAAACAAGTAACCAGACGGCAGAAACGGAAACCCACAGAAAACAATTACTACAAAGGGAGGTGACAAGGTATCCCCACAAACCCCAAAATACAAGAGAGCAGGGCCGAACCCCATCAGCCACAGGCCCGCGTACTGACGATGTCTGTGTGGGAGGAAACAGAGGAAAGCAGGGTGCTCCTGAGAAATCTGAGGACAGGACACCCCAAAATAGCCAACAGATACACACTGGGAGCACAGGGGTCCAAAGTGAGAACAGCAGTGAAACTGGCAGAGGTTCTGCCACTTCACTACCTAGTGAGTGCAAGGGGCCTGCAGCAAGGGAGGGGCTAGAGCTATCCAGCTCCTGTGAACTCTCAAATACAGGCTGCCAGGACAGGTCCCACAACAAGGAGAATGGAATCAAAACTGAACAAAGGGCCGGCCCGTGGCTCACTCGGGAGAGTGTGGTGCTGATAACACCAAGGCCCCGGGATCGGATCCCATATAGGGATGGCCGGTTGGCTGACTGGCTGAGCGTGGTGCTGACACCAAGCCAAGGGCTGAGATCCCCTTATCGGTCATCTTTTAAAAGAAAAAAAAAAAAAAAAACTGAACAAGACAAGGTCAAAAGAGATGAAGGAAAGAGAAGGTTCTGGAAAATGCGGGCGAGGGGACCAGAGCCAGGAAATTTCAAAACACCAGCGCCATATTTGTGAGCACTACACAAAAACAACACAAGAGGGAGCTTCATGAAGTCAGAAAAGCCACCCCGAACCACACTTCATCTAGAAGTTAGAAAACTTCTTCACTTTAGGTAAAGAAATGCGATGGGGTTGAGCTTTGAACTCCAAGCCCTGCCCCCAGTCCAGTGTCCAGCTGTCACTTCCCTGGCTCACCTGGTCACTTGCTGTGAGGCAGGACAGGTAAGGCAGAATCTCCAGAACATCAACACGGTGAAAATTGCTGTGATTGTGGCAGATATATTTATAGGTCCTGTCCTCAGCAAACGTCATCACTGCTCAGGTTCTGAAGAGAGAGGGCCCTGGCCCAGCAAAGGGTGGATGGACTGAGAGAGAGGAAAAAAGACAAAGAAAACACACATGGCCACAGGGTTGGGAGTGGGGTTGCACAAAAGGCAATTCTTTCTTACACAACTTTTTGAAATTTTTGCTTTTTTCTTTCATCTTTAACTTCTTGAAACATCCTATTTCATCACTGCTTGGGTTCCAGAGGCTCTCAAAGAGTTTGCCTAAAAATGAATTGATAGGGGCTGGCTGGTTGCTCACTTGGCAGAGCGTGGTAACACCAAGGTCAGGGGTTTGGATCCCTGTACCAGCCAGCCATCAAAAAAAAAAAAAAAAATAGAATTGATGACCAAAAAGAAAATCAGATCCAGAAAAATAGGGCCCATTTCTGCTGTGCAGATGGGTGAGTGTTGGGGAAGATCTGTATGTGCCTCTAGCTGCTGTGCCTGTGAGTACACTGGCTCCTCTCCCAGCTCTAAGGCCCTTGAGCTGATAGCAAGAGGGCTCCATTTAGAAGTCCTGTTTCTGGGCCGGCCCAGTGGCGCACTGGATAGTGCGCCGCTTGGGAAGCGCGGCGGCGCTCCTGCCCGAGGGTTTGGATCCCACATGCAGACCGGTTCCCACTCACTGGCTGAGCGAGGCGCGGGGGCAACACCGAGGGTTCCGATCCCATTGCCAGTCCCCGGTCCGGTGCGGGGGCAACACTGAGGGTTGCAATCCGTTGCCGGACACGGAAAAAGACAAAAGACCAAAAAAAAAAAAAAAAAAAAAAGAAGTCCTGTTTCTTTTTGGTGTACTGAAAAAACAGAAAAAAAGAAGCCCAACATGAT